CCTATCTACGTATATTGGCTCCAGTGGTGGTTGCATGGTCAAGACCTGTTTCCTGGTGGTGACAGTAGAGAATCATGCCTCTGCAATTAGATCAGTGCAGCCCCTTGTACAGTATTTCCAACCAGAAGCCAATGTGACCAAGTGACAAAGGAGCAGCAAAACGGGGAGACAGGGACCAGGAGTTGTTGCCTACAACAGGTGACTGAACAAGGACTTTCATGGCAGAATTAAGAGGTGTTATTTAATGCAGGTTCAAATTTTGAAAGATAGAAATTCACTTTTGAATGTACAATAAAAGTTAAATAATATTTGAGATTTAAGGAATTGGGTTTACATTTATTCAAATTATTATATTTGTACAGGACAATTTATTAGCCACTTGAATCCCTAAGCCTTTTTCTCCCTAAACCTACTTCAGCACTAGAGCATTTCTTCAACAATATCTTGGTTCTGAACTTTAAAGCTTTAGGCAATTGAAGTCTAATATATTCTAGAACTTTTTCAGAAAAGACAGGGCTTTAGTTTGGTTGCAAACTTGGGTATATACAATATTTACTTTATTTGCTTGGTTTTTATTGGAAATAAATAGTATAAAGTTAGAAAAAAGTGCATTGACATTTTTTACAGATGCTTTTTGGCTTTTGAAGTTTTTTTTCTACAGCTAGTAAACACCCCAGCATGTTATCCTATGTGTCCATGCACACATAGACTGTAATCAATGTTTTTGGCTGGAAAAAAAAAAACGAGGACTAGTGGGTTTCTAGTGGAGTTTGTTAGCTGTAAAAATGATCTAACACTGAAAAATGCAGCAAAACACCCGCAAACCAGTGTTTTTGTACTTTTTTTGACCCCAAAAATGTTTTTGTTGGAAAAAAAAATGCTAAAAAAAGTAAAAAACGCAAACACGGGAAAACACCGCTAAACACTAAAGCAAAAACGCTAAAAAAAACCTGAAAGACTCACGTTTTTAACGTGAGTTTACACATCTAATGTTACCAGCGCTATCAAAACGTCAAGTGTGCATGAGGGCTTATAGCAGTGTTTCTCAACTCCAGTCCTCATGGACCCCCAACAGGTCATGTTTTCAGGATTTCCATTATTTTGCACAGGTGATTTGATCAGTTTCACTGCCTTAGTAATTACCACAGCTGTTTCATCTGAGGGAAATCCTGAAAACATGACCTGTTGGGGGTCCATGAGGACTGGAGTTGAGAAACACTGGCTTATAGTGATCTACTGCTGTAGGGAAAGGCTGGACAGAGCTGTAACAAGAACTAATAGGAAGTGCTGAGACATCACTACACTCCTGATGCAAACACAATGCAAAAGTGTTTACATTCCCATCTATAGCTAACTGAAGAAATTTTGGAAGCCCAGAAGCTGATTCAAGAAATCATTTTGCCAACTTATTTAGCTTTACTTTTTGTGAACCTGATTCTTCAGCTTATTTCAGAGGTCAGAAAGTCTTAAGCTGGGTACACACCAAAAGTCGAACAGTTCTTATCTGTTCAACAGAGGCCAGTCTAATGACTGACTTCTGTCCAACGGCCATGCTGGAAAACCAGCATTGTAGATTAGATTGTAAGCTCGAAAGAGCAGGGCCCTCAATCCCCTCATGTTTTGCATTGTATTGGTATTGTTCTGTCACATGTTCTGTCCCCCTTTGTAATGTACAGCGCTGAGTGAACTATTGGCGCTTTATAAATACTGTATAATAATATAATAATAATAATTTGATCAGCATTTGCAGCCAATGGCTGCAAGTGTTGATCAGTGTATTCTGGCAAGGGGGAGTCCCTGCTGTCAGAATACAATAGCTCAGCAAGAGAGATCCCCACATCATACATCATTTGTTGATGTGGGGATTTGTCAGCTTTTTTTGTTTGACCCGCTGGCTGAATAAAATCTGTGTATACCCTGCTTTACAGTTGCTGACCTGTCAACAGCCTGACCTTACACAATGTCTACAAGCTCCTAAAAGTGTTTGAAAGGGTCAAATGACAGAATTATAAAGACTGCACTAACTATTGTAGACTGATATTTCATCCGTTCATGCCTTTTCCGCAGAACACCAAAGCTGAAGTATCAGGCTTGGTAAGGTAAGAAAAGTTAAAGGTTGAATATTCATATTTGTGCGTAAGCCCCTTCACAACAGGTTCACTTAAAGCCCAACTGTTTTGTTTATGCCACAAAGGTTGTATGTAATTTTTAATTTTGTCTAACTGACTTATCTTTTTGCCTGCTTGCAGTGAAAATGAACATAAACAAGTTGATTGAAGGAACTGTTCTTTGTGTGTTTTCATGAACTGAAGCATATTCAGCAGCAAACTGGCACCAGTACACAAACAGACCGCATGCCAAATGGTCTAGTAACTTGCCCCCCCTTCTTCCCCACCCTCTTATCAATCCACAGTCTATCCAAACATCTCTGTAATGTAGACTAGTGTGCTGTATTTGTGTAAACAGGAACCAACAGAGACTTACTTGGCTGTCACAAAAGTATCAGTCAAGGGTTGTGATTTACAAACTTCTGATTGATTTAAAAAGTATTTTTGCATTGTTATACTGTATATTTAGTTGATCACAAAAACACCTAGGTTGTGTATGTAAATAATAAAATATTTTCACCATGTTCTGTTAATTCAGTTTGCCTGTATATATGTTCCAGGTCAGTAACTGAAAGTATTTGAGTCAGAGACAGCTACTGCAGGTAATTAGCATTTATATTAGGTGGTCAACAAGAGCAACTAACATATATTTCTCAGGCAGCCTATAGATAAGTCATTTTTGGCTGGAAAAAAAAACTGATTCAGTTCCCCCATCCACACACTTGATAAGGGAATCAATCCTCTCCACTCAGCTATTGTATTTTACATCAGAGTATTTATTTATTAGTTATTTCAGGTACTTATATAGCGCCGTCAATTTACGCAGCGCTTTACATATATATTGTACATTCACATCAGTCCCTAACCCTCAAGGGGTGTACAATCTAAGGTCACTAACTCACATTCATACAAGCACATACTAGGGCCAATTTAGACAGGATCCAATTAACCTACCTGCATGTCTTTGGAGTGTGGGAGGAAACAGGAGAACCCGGAGGAAACCCATGCAGGCACAGGGAGAACATGCAAACTCCAGGCAGGTGGTGCCGTGGTTGGGATTCAAACCAACAATCCTAGTACTGCCAGGCGGAAGTGCTAACCACTAAGCCACTGTGCCGCCCATTTTATTCAGAATACACTGATCCAAGTGGTGAAAATCCATCAGGGTGGTTGTACAAAAGATGATCAGTAGGTTGTCTTCTGTAAAACCTACCCATACATAGATCACAATTCAGCCTAATTATGATCCATATACAGTATGACCCACTTCGTACAAGTTTTATTTAAACCAGACACCAAATGGTTAGTTTACAAGTAGATACATCTGTAGACTGAGTTCCCTTTTGATGGAAATCTTTGCAGCTGACATAGCAGATTGTAACCGTAACAGAGATCTTGTTGTCATTTTTCAAAATCTAAATCAGTGGTCTCCAAACTGCAGCCCCAGGACCAGATGTGGCCCTTTGCTTGCTTTTATCTGGTCTTTGGGGCACTATTTCATCCACTGGTACCAACAATGGGGCATAACACAGATACAACACCTCTTGCACTCAGGGACCCAGATCAGCAGAGGGCTGATGGATCAATAGTATAAGGGTGTATGGAAGTTCATCCCAGACCGATCAAAGGCTGTGCAACTCCAATACAAAGCTGGGGAAGCTTGATACAAACTGTAGTGGAGAGCTGGAGCGCTCTGTTTTTGTTGTCCACTACAGTGCATAATTCCCCCCACTGACAATAATGATGAGGCACAATTCCTCCCAATGACACCAACGATAGGGCACAATTTCTCCCAATGACAACAACAATGGGGCCCAATGACACCGCTGATGGGGCACAATTCCTCCCACTGACACCAAAGATGAGGCATTGTTTTTGCTCTACTAACATCGGGACCTTTTCTACTCTCAAAGGACACAGTCTGGTCCCCCTAAAGTCTGAAGGACAATAAACTCGCCCTTTGTCTAGAAAGTTTGGAGACCCCTGCTCTAAATAAACACAAAACTGATATTTTAGTTGTATATTGATATTGCTTGAAACAACCATTGATTTTTTTCTCTATCTCCTTGAGACTTTAGGTATAAAATATCCCTGTCAAATTTCTTGTCCCCCATTATAGAGTTTAACGCCTTCATCCTGTAATGTAAACTATAGAGGAAGTTACTTTATGCAATCAAAATGTAAAAATCAATTTTGGGTAGATTATGGACTGATTTATACACCTATATACTGCACTACTGTATAAACACTATCAATAACTTCATTTGTCACATCACTCATGAATGTTTGGTAATGAATGGTTGCTTTTATTATTGCCAGGCAACCATTTTAACACCAGACCCAATGAATATGAAAACATATCTAAACCCCAAAACAATGTAATAAATTGCAGCTTACCAGTTCTTGGCTATGTTGGCTGCAATGGTTTTCTTTTTCACAAGCTCTTTTCCTTTATTTTGACTAATGATCCTGCAAGTAACACACGTCCCATCCCTTTAAACATGTCTGCTTTGTTCATTGTATTACATGATGGATTAATAGGACTAGTAGTTCACACAAAAAAAGAAAAGGTTGTTTGTGCTTTGTTTTAAGCTCATGGGAAGTAACAAGATCAACAGGTATTTTTTGTACTTGCTGAAAATGTTCTTAACATGAAAAGTGAAATCCAATGCAGTCACCACATGAAGACTGGTAAGCTGCAATATTAATTTTTGGGGTTTAGCTGTGCTTTAATCATTGTTGAATGTTTACTACTTTAGTTATGTACATTTTGTACTACAACACATGCACACTGTAATAAAAAAACATTATTCTATTAGTTGAATAAAGGCTAAATATTGCGAATAAAAATGATTTGAATAGGAAACACTAATAAACTACAGTAATACTCACATTTGCATAGTACTCCATTACTAGCAGGTATTCCAGACGTCCATCTGAAGTCACCCTCTCATCAGCCACAATAAAATGGGCAATGTTATCATGCTCCAACAAAGGAGTGCGGTATATACTCCTTTCATTGATAAAATTCTGTCGATTGTTGAATGAAAAAACTTTCACAGCCACTGGACGTTCATCTAAGGATCCTTTGTACACTGACCCATAACGACCACGACCAATAAGCTAAAGAAAAAAAAATCAAACATAAGTTCACAAGTACAGTATAAATGACAGTATACTGGGTAACACAGGTATACGAATAAGGTCATGAAGACATCAGAAGAATGACTTTTCCTTTTCATAACCCAAGATGCACACACTATACATCCTCTCGCTTGTGTACTAGCTAAACCCTTTGTTGGGTGTCAACTTAAGTTTTTACCTCCATCCACAGCTGTGTAAAGAACCTCATTGCATCTTCAAAGTGTTTCTAGGCATAATTTTACTACCTTGCCTCTGTTCTATAATTTGGTAATCTACTCAGTGCCCTGTCTGTGCCAGCCTTGTATTCTATAACATCCTACTGGCTGTCTGCTTCACTTTACGCATTGTCATCTGTACCAAAAATCACCAATGTGTCCCATGGCCCAATGGGACCCAGCACTGCTCCTTTTCTAAACTTTTTAAGGCTCCGTTCACACTTGTATGACTCAAAAGTTGTGTGACTTTGGAGTGCAGCTTTGATGCAATTTGGATGCATCTTTGACTCATCTTTGACACAACTTTGGATGAGTGCGACTTGGATGTGCCTTGTCCCTCTACAAAGTCGAATCCACTGTTTTGACACTTTTGCATGTAAAACATTCAGATATGACTTTCATGCAACTTGTGAGAGTTAACATTGAAGTCTATGCCTTCAAGTTGCATGAAAGTCGGACCAAAGTGGTGCATGAACTACTTTGAAGTTGCTGCAACTTTAAGTTGCACATATATAAATGGTTATCATTGGAAAACATGGGGTACGGCTTGTCATGAGACTTTGATGCCCAAAGTTGCATGCCGAGTTGCACAAGTGTGAATGGGGTCTTAATCAGCTTTCTATGGTACAGCAACATATCAGTTGTCTATGGTACATAAACTGGAATAAGGTCACTTTATATTATTAATGGCCAAATACATTCCCTGACCTCAGCAGTAATATTCTTTACAGCACACCATACCTATTTCTGCCTGCTAGCACATACTTTCAGCTTTGTTGCTTGCTCATTGCCTGTGCTCTATTTCTACAAACATCTCATTAGACAGTCAGTCCATCATCATGTGCAGGGATTATGAAAGGGAACTTCCAAAATGACTAATATTTATAGGTAAAGTTGAAAAAAGGGATATCCGATTGCCTATTGGGGGATTCTGAAGGAGTTTTTTTTTTCCCTGCAGGAGCAAACTGGATCATGATTTATTGGGGGGGGGGGGGGGGGCGGTTGCCTTCCTTTCCACTGGATCAGCTGTGGGTATAGGATTGTGTATACAGTACTGTGTAAGTTGTTTTATTTTTCTCCCCTTATAATGATTGAACTAGATGGACTTGTGTCTTTTTTCACCCAGACTAATTATTTAACTATGTAACTTAGAACAACCCCCCCCTTGGTGTATGCCCCAGCAAACTGTGAAGAAGTCTATAGCAGATCCTTGTCTACATTCTTTGTGTCTAGAAGAGTGGCCAAGCCATGCAGCTGCAAGATTAAATAAGGTATGGCTTTTTATGGAGTATATAATTGCTGAGGTTATTATAGAGTACACATCCCGTACTCGATCTTTGTCTCAAAGTGAGACAACGGTAGTCTGGGAATGGTATATATCTTGCTAAGTTTTGCTGACCAAGGTTGTCAATAACCTGTAAGGTTCTTCAGTTTTCTTAAGTTTTTCCTCTGGGGATTGCAATGGATGGATTTTTAAAAATCCCACCATAGGAAGTAGACCCTACCCTAATGAGGAGCCAGGGACACTTTTTTAGTAACGGCCACAGCAGCAGTGACATTATGCCATAATTACCTCCAAACTGGGTGGAAAAACGATGAAAAAATGCTGCACATATATTAGCGAGATGGGCTTTCCCCATCTTTATGAGTCACGTCCCTGTGACAGGATGGAATCAGTACTCCATCTGTGGAACTTATCATTTCTTTGCAGTTTGTATTTGCGGGTGTGCAGCTGGCTGGCGTAATGTAGTGTGAATGGATCTATTTTACAGTAACAACAACTTGTATCATCTGAGTTATTTATGCCTTCAGAAGTGGCAGCTAGTCAGGGTATTCTTTGCAGTGGAGGAGTATAGATACACTGTAAAAAAAGCAACAATTGGATACAGTTGTGACAGTGTTATTACATTTTCTAAGCAAGCACTGATGGGAGTATTATTAATACACTTGATGGCCACCAGAAGCTTACACATTAAGGTTGCCTACCTACGCATACCCACCCAATCCTCATCATCATGGCCCCAGGGCATTTCTGCAGGCAGAATCTTCATGCACAGCTAGGTCTCCTCCGAGAAAGTGCATTTATAAGCTTTCTCTGGTTTGCCAAGAGGAATTCTGAGTGGTGTAGTTTGAGGCTTGCTGTACTACTGTAGTCCATGCACAGAACAGTCCCCAGAACAACCAGCAAGAAGAAGCACCAATTCCAAAGCAAGGATGCAGAGGACATCAAAGAAGCCACTCACTTCAGTAAGTGCAGCATTGCAGGCATTTGTTTAACACCCACAAACAAGGTGGAAATACATTTCAAGTATGCAATTTGTCTGTGTAATTCCACATTCAACAAACTAAAAGTGAGAACATTGTTTCTATAAATATGTTATTATTTGGTACTACTTCCATTTGAATACTAATACTATTTAATGGTGTTGAGTTACTTTAACATCCCATCAGCTTTAGCAGTAAACCACAACTTTCTCTTAGTTCCTTCCTCTCTATGACACATAACATGATTTAGGAAAACAGTCGTTTTGGACACATATACACTCAAAGGCAACATGCTATTAGCAGATAACCACTGTAAGTAGAAAGAGTGGAGAGGATGAAAAAAAGCTTATTTGGCCTAACAGCTGAAAGAACGATCAGCTGTTTCTATGCAAATTGGTATTTCAAGAATTAGCTATTTGTGCTACACACAATCTGATAGAAGATATCATAATTTGCATCAAGCCTGACTAATATTTCTATAAGTCCTCTATAAATCAGGGCTGCAATGTAATGACATCATTACATTACACATACAATGAGATAACTTCTCTCTAGTTTTACTAACATAGATCTGCCATCTGTCTATAACATTAAAGTAGAACTATGGGAAAATGTTTTTTTTTTTTTTTCATTTTGGATAGAGTAAGGGAGGGCTATAACCCCTGTTAGTTTGTTTTTTGCCATCTGTGTCCCACTGGGGAGATTTGCCTTCAGTTCATGTGCCATAGCCAGACAGGAAGTGACAGAAAATATCTGCAAATTAAAGTGTTACTACACCTCCAAAAGTAAAATCAGTCTGTATATGCAGTAAAGCATGCTTGTTATACTCACTGTGGAACCTAAGGAGTTAATCATCTGCATTTTGTAAAAACACTGTTTGATCCTGTCTTCTCTGATCCTCCCCTTCTTCCAGTGTCCCCCCTTATCTCCTGATAAGACATATTGTGTGGAGTCACTCTGCACATGCTCAGTTTGGTGTGTAGTGCTAGAGAGGGTTTTTTTTTGGGAGAGTGCATGTGATCAGCATAGAGCCAATCAACACTATCTAGACAGAGCTCAGGGGTCCTGCATCCTCACAGAGCAAAATTCAAACACCTGCTACAAGCTTTAACATGTGCTCAGCTGGACACTAATAGAAGTCACAAGACTGCTCTAACTGCTGATGAGAAAAGGTATTAGGCAGTTTATATTTACTTACATATTTGCACTTTGGGATTTTCTTTAATTTAGCTTTGGATGATAATGGTAAACAAGACAAATAAAGAAGGTGAATCTCCCTAAATGGGGCACAGACAGCAATACATACTGACAGATGTTCTAAACCATCTCTACGATATCCAAAACTAAACAAAAAGTTTTGTCTTTAGTTATACTTTAATGGAATTCAATCACTGAATAGATTATTACTCTGTGCTTACCCTGATTTCAACATTACAGATATTTGAAGTTAAATTGCAAAAAAGTAATGTTTTACCTCTAATAACTTAAGGTTATCCAAATCTAAAGATGGTTCTGATGTTGCAGCTTCCATCATATTCATACTATGCAGACCTTGCTTCCGATCTTCTAAAAAAGAAATGCACACAAATGAGGCTCCTAGCATATTTTGCTTAATATTTGCTACTTTGCATTTGCCTATGCATTGTGATGATGCCAATAGGAAAACCTGGTTGTAGATAGCAAGAAGTGTAGATATGGGGGGAAGGTTATTTTTTTTGTCTGACCACACATTAACACTTGCCTACCGGGCACTTTTACCCCCTTACTACCCAAGCACATTTTCAGCTTTCAGTTCTGTCACACTTTGAATGACAATTGTATGGTCATGCAACACTGTACCCATTTGAAATTGTTATCATTTTTTTTTCACACAAATTGAGCTTTCTTTGGGTGGTTTTTTAAACCAATTCAATACCGGGCAATTTTACACCTTCCTGCCCAGGCCATTTTTTAGGTTTCAGCGCTCTCACACTTTGAATGACAATTACGTGGTCATACAACATTGTGCCCAAACTAAAATTTTATCATTTTCTTCACACAACTAGAGCTTTCTTTTGGTGGTATTTAATCATCGCTGGAGTTTTTATTTTTTGCTAAATTAACAAAAAAAGACCAAAAATTTTGAAAAAAAAAAACGTTTTTCTTTGTTTCTGTTATAAAAGTTTGCAAATAAATAATTGTTCTTCATAAATTTAGGCCGAGATGTATTCTACTACACGTCTTTGGTGAAAATAACCCAAATTAGGATGTATTTTTTAGTTTGTAGGAAAGTTATAGAGTTCACAAACTATGGTATAGATCTGAATATTGATCAATCCTGAAGTACTGACAGCCAATCTAATTTCTTAAGATCCAAGAATTTCAGAATAGTACAGATATCCCCCAAATGACCACTTTTTGCAAAGTATATAGTCCGACGTACTTCATAAGAGGCATGGTGAGTTTTTTGAAGTTGTATTTTTTTGTCATAATTTTTCGGAAAATGAAAAAATAAAAAAAAATTATTTTCACTATTTTTTTTTTACATACTGTCACCAGTGCAGTACAGCGTCATCATATAACTGGCATGGTGGTGATCAGGGACACTGACTGGTGACAGTGTGAAAAAAAAAAAATATATATATATTTTTTTTTTAAATGTTTTATTACATTTGTTTTCTTTTTTTTTTAAGATTTTTTTTCATATTTCACTATGTCCAAGGTAGTACAATGTTACCATAGTAACATTGTACTACTTTAGGGAAGTGATCAGTATTTTTTTTGTTTACACAATTTGCTTATAGCAAAGAATTACTTTGCTATAAGCAAGCATTTACCTGAATGACATCGATTCATTAAGGGTTTTTTTTTTTTTTGTGCTTAGCTGTGATTTGGCCACAGCTAATCACATGACATGTGCATGTGATTAGCTGTGACCATTCACAGCTAGACACTAGTATACAATGGATGACATGAATGAAGCCATCCATTGTATACAACTGTCATGTGACCTGCTGTGATTGGTCACAGCAGGTCACATGGTACCGGCAACGGGGGCCGGTACTCAGATCTGTCATCGGCCGTATCCGAGGTACACGGCCGGTGACAGATCGCGCCGCTGCCATATGGCCGGAAAGGTAATGCATTTTTGCGGACGCCATTTGGCCATAGGCCGGGCATCAAATGGTTAATCACCACTGGGTGTTTTATTTTTTGCACTATAAATTAAAAAATACCAAACCTTTTTGAAAAAAAAAGGATTTCTTAGTTTCTCTGACCTAATCCAATATTTTTAATTACTTTTCTTAAAATAACTTTTTTGGGGAACACCCCAGTACTCCCTGGCTTCCTGTCTAGGCAAGAATATTGTATTTGTTGCATACAGCCTCCTGGGATACCCAAGTCATACATCCCAGGAGGCTGTGGGCAACAAATACATCATTCTTACCTAGGCAAGAAACCAGGGAATACTGGGGTGTGTTCCTCAAAAAAAGTTTTTCCAAGAACAGTAATTTAAACATATAGGATTATGTCAGAGAAGAGAGATAGGAGGGCGAAAAGAATGGGGAGCATGCACGTCTGCTTTAAAGTGAACCTGACCTGGTATAAAAACTTTGTAAGATAAAAAACTTTGCTAAAGGGCAGGCACAGTCTGTCGACTGCAAACACCCTTCCTAGTATTCAAATCAATCCCTCTGTCTATATGGAGTCTTCTTGGATCCTAGACGGAGGCTATGGGTGCCTCAGTTTCTGCCTAATTTAGATTAAAGGCCAACTTCTCCCAGCACAATATCTAAGCCCTGCCCTAATCTTTTAACTGTTATAAAGATAGTAATGGCTCTGGCATCAAGATGTTCTAAAGGCAAAGTGGGGTCCTGTCCACGAGTAGATTGGTACCTGACGTGACTGCTAGCTGTATAGAAAGCACAAATTGTTGTGGACTTATCCCAGCATCATGTGCAGAAAAACAGGCTCAGTTAAGCGATAATGTATTTGTCATCAGCCATAATTATCATTATTTACAGCCATGAGATTGTTTAAGCTCTCCTTGGCTCTCATTCCTAAAAATAACAAATGTTATGGCAAAAGAGGACCTACAGTGGATTTAAAAAGTCTACACAACCCTGTTAAAATGTCAGGTTTCTGTGATGTAAAAAAATGAGACAACGATAAATAATTTCAGAACTTTTTCGACCTTTGCTGTAACCTATAAACTGTACAAGTCAATTGAACAACAAACTGAAATCTTATAGTTGTAGGGAAGTAAAAAAAAAAAAAACTAAAACAATATGGTTGCATAAGTGTGCACACCCTTAAACTCCAAATCTGCCAGATTGCAAGCGCATCTCCTGTGCACAGTCCTCTTCAGATCACCCCACAGATTTTCGATTGGATTCAGGTCTGGGCTCTGCCTGGGGCATTCCAAAACTTTAATCTTCTTCTGGTGAAGCCATTCCTTTGTTGATTTGGATGTATGCTTTGAGTCGTTGTCATGCTGAAAGATTAAGTTTTTCTTCATGTTCAACTTTCTAGCAGAAGCCTGAAGATCTTGTGCCAATATTGACTGGTATTTTGAACTGTTCATAATTCCCTCTACCTTGACTAAGGCCCCAGTTCCAGCTGAAGAAAAACAGCCCCAAAGCATGATGCTGCCACCACTATGCTTCACTGTGGGTATGGTGTTTTTTTGGTGATGTACAGTGTTGTTTTTGCACCAAACATATCTTTTGGAATTATGGCCAAAAGGTTTAACCTTGGTTTCATCAGACCATAACACATTTTCCCACATGCTTTTGGGAGACTTCAGATGTATTTTTGCAAAATTAGGCCAGGCTTGGATGTTTTTCTTCGTGCCACTATACACCATAGCCCAGACATATGTAGAATACGGGAGATTGTTGTCACATGTACCACACAGCCAATACTTGCCAAATATTCCTGCAGCTCCTTTAATGTTGCTGTAGATCTCTTGGCAGCCTCCCAGACCAGTTTTCTTCTTGTCTTTTCATCAATTTTGAAGGGACGTCCAGTTCTTGGTAATGTCACTGTTGTGCCATATTTTCTCCACTTGATGATGATGGTCTTCACTGTGTCCCATGGTATATCTAATGCCTTGGAAATTCTTTTGTACCCTTCTCCTGACTGATACCTTTTAACAATGAGATCCCTCTGATGCTTTGGAAGCTCTCTGCGGACCATGGCTTTTGCTGTAGAATGCGACTAAGAGAATATCAGAAAAGACCTACTAGAACAGTTGAACTTTATTTGGGGTTAATCAGAGGTTCTTTAAATGATGGCAGGTGTGTACTGACTCCTATTTAACATGATTTTGAATGTGATTGCACAGCTACATCCCCAGAGGGTGTAAACACTTATGCAACCACATTATTTTAGTTATTTATGTTTACTTCCCCTCCCTTAAAACATTTCAGTTTGTTTTTCAATTGAGTTGTACAGTTTATAGGTCACAGTAAAGGTGAAAAAAGTTCTGAAGTGATTTATCTTCGTCTAATTTTTTTACATCACAGAAACCTGACATTTTAACAGTGAGGTGTAGACTTTTTATAACCACTATATGGCTACCAACCAAGCAGCCTTTTAAATTTACCTGATTGCCGTTTCTACCACCTGACACTGGCTAACAAGAAAGAAGGTCTTTTTCATACCATACATCTCTCCTTCTTGACTACATTATGTTCAAACATAAGGTGGGCCTTAAACCTTTTCAAGTCTAATGACCCTAAAGCCCCATACACACAATGAGAATATCGGACAAATGATCATCTGTTTTTTTTTTTGCATGCTACTCTCATATGGAAAGTGAAGAGTGTTACTAAGTTACGAAAATTCTTGTATAACAGAATAAAAATTCAAAAGTGATGTAATGTATTGTTAAGTATTTGCATTGTATTTTCGTATGAAAATTGTATTGATTAAAAAATAATTGTAATCTGGTATCGTACAAGAAATATTTCCGTACTTGTCCCTTCGAATAATTTCGGATGAAAGCTGTGTATTAACGATCAGATTATCGTACAATCACTTAGAAAGTGGTATTTTTCTTACAATTTTCTGATCATGCCTACTAGAACTAATCCTTCTCTGTAGCAGAGGGCAAACACAAAACACAATAACAATTAATTTAATCTGATGACGAACAAAAACTTTGAGGATAAATGAAATATGTTATACAATAGTATATATCAAAGTATCACATACCTCCAAATATCCTATATCCAAAGAAGAAAAAAAACAATAAGCACAGCTACAACAGACACAGAAGCCAGGGCGATTATTATGGTCATTTCACGGTGCATCCAACCTGTAGGACCTGAAAGAAAAAACAAACTGTTATCCTGCGCTACATTAAAACATATATTTCCAAACCCTAATTTAACCACTTGCGTCCCCTGACATTTTCTCCCTAAGTTCTCCTGAGCCCCATAGCATCGTTTAGGCAATATTATGTTTTGGCAATGTCTCGGTTACACACATGATACCTTTTAGCATTTATAGTCTATGCTAAGATATTGTACATTTCTTTTGTGTACAGATAGGACTTCAATTTGGAAGCAAATTAGGATACATACAATTTTATTTTCTTGGTTTTTCTTGAAAATAAATAGTAAAACATATGTTTCCCAAAGCAGCACTTTGAAATGAACCATACAAGCAGGATATTATGGATATCTAAATTTCCCTTTCAGATATAATTAACACTACGTGTAGATAGATAAAAAATTTATAATCGTGTAAACTAGGATTTCAGGCCACTTTTTTGCATACTTTGATTACTTATATCTATTTTTATAAATGTGAATTACAATGTGTTTTGCATGGGTGCTTGCTAGTTTGTAATCATCAAACAGTTCCCTTTCCATGTACTTTCCAGTATTTTGGGGACCCTGGCATGAGGGGAGGGACTGATGATTGTGTTATTGATCTTGATGGAGAAGTCAGGGGAGGGGGCACAGGCTGGAGGGAATACTAAGAGCTCAGTTTTGGAAAGACTGCAAGTAAGTTTAATTTATAAAATGGTAATATTGACTGTATTGCAAAAATGAGCAAAACTAAATACTTTGTGTATGTACCACAATATGTAGTGTACAGCGGTTCTTTGGCTTGTAGAAAAGGTGAATTTAGCATTTTGACAGCTGTCAGCACTCCAGGGGAATGAGATGTTGATTTTCTGTAATTCCCTGCTGTCATTCTGCATTTTTTAAAGTCCTCCACCCCTCTGTCACTCATCAGCTCTGAATTCAAAATTGTAAAGTGTAACTGAAATTATAGACCACATTTTCAAAGTCCCCCCCAGCACCGTGTTTGTGGTGACAGTCAACAGACCGATAGTTCTGTCTACTATGCTTTCCCTGAGCCTGCAGGGTACAGTACTGTGCAAGTGCAAGGAAGTCACATAGACATCTACAGGCTTGCTAACATTAATGAACACTCCATTACCAGTCTGATAACAGTTATCTAAATAGAGAGCACAGCTGCTTGCCATCAGGATCACTCTGTTTGACTGAAACCTTGCACAGAGTCATCTAATAAGTGATGAGTAAACCTTGGTACACACTATAAAAAAATTGGGTGAACGATCGTCCAGTTTTCCTCGATGTTTCACAGCAAGCCAAACCCGAAGATGGTACTAATTGTATGAAAATTCTTGAATGCCAAAGGCTTTTTTTTTGTTTCACATGGAAACATAGCATAGATTGTTTATTGTTTCTGATCATGCGCAGTCTTACGTATCTAATTTTTTCTTGTACAAAAACAGTGCACATTAAACGAAAATCATTAGCTCTGTGTACGCACAAGAAACATTTTGGAGTTTGTCCCTTCAGAAATTTTCATTTGGAAAATCTGAATAGGATGTCAACAGTTGTGTACACACTATACAAAAATCGAACGATCAGTCCTCGTATGGAATTTTTCTTCCAATTTTCTCATAGCATGTACCCCACCTAACTCCTCTAACTCATTCACTTGTGTGGGCAAATTTGAACTTAAGTCACAGAGCTTTGTAAACAACAGGGTGTTAAAGCTTAAGTTTAGGTATTAAATTAGCAAGGGCCATTGTTTACATTTTCTGTGAAGTGTTCCTTGTGCTGGTGCCAGCTGTCATAGAGGAAATCTGAAGTCCTCTGCCCCTCCAATACCCAATAAATGAAGGCGAGGGTGGAAAGGGCGGGCACAGAAGCTATGAATGGAGGAGAAGGATGTAGAAAGGGCAGGCGTAGTTGGCACTCTCAATGAGTTTCAGTCACAGGTTCATTACTGTGGGGTAATAAAGGGGGCCAGAGGACTTAGGATTTCCACTATGACAGCTGATAGCAGCACAAGGGACAATTTTCATTAAATGTAATGCCTCTTGTCTTGATTTTTACCTGGATAAAAGACTACATTATATTTGTGTGCAATATTTCACATTTACTTAAGTAAAACATTTACCTAACTAAAAAGAAAATGTATTTTTGAATTGTTATTTGCAAGCCTTTCACCATACGTAACAAAGAAAGTAAATATATGCAAAACCATTATATATTTCCTTTAATAAGAAACCCATAATAAACAAATATCTATTCCACATCACAGTTGGCAAAATTCATTATAAATTATAAGAGGTATTGAATATGCAACTTATATCTGTGTAGCTACATTATAACTGGTGTTGGCAATCTCAGGTCTCCAGCTGTGATGAAACTACAAATCCCATCATGCCCCTGCCTCTAAGAGTCATGCCCGTGGTTGGCAGAGTCTTGCAATGCTTCATGAGACTGTTAGTTTCATAACAACTGGAGTGCCAAGGTTGTCTACACTTGCACTATATTCTTTTCATTTTTTTTTTCTAAAGACTCAGCCATTCCAATCTAGAGTAATATTTCACAATTATCTGCAATTAAAAAAAACAATCCTTGAGACTGACACATTTGGTCCTGGAAGGAAAAAAGCAAGCAGGGGTGATAAGATGGGGAGACAATCGTGTTGCAAGAGGTACATACACATTGTAGCAAAAACAGCCAAGTGCTCTTGGCTCCAGACTGTTTGGCTTTTCCCCATTCCAGAAATCCCAAATAATAACACAAAGGAAACAATTAGGAAGGAAATTGCTTAATGAGGACATTTGAGTTATCTGATGGCTAGCTGAAGAAAGATTACAGCACTGTGCTGGCATCTGAAATTGCATGTTTGAATGACATATCCTAAGTGATACAAAACAATGGCTTTGAAATCTATATGCCTATAAACAATATGTAGTCAATTATTGTTGAATAGGAATGAGCTCAAGTGTGTTCAGATCACAGTCCAAACCCACCTGAGTTATCCCACCAGAAAGCTGTCACTCTATAACCCACAGCCATACATATACAAGGGGAGTGTATACAGGCATGTGCACGGTGGGGGATGCCTGATTAGCTTTGTACTGTGACAGCTTCCTGGTGGGATAGCTCAGGTGGGTTTGGACTAGGACCTGAACATGCCTGAGCTCTTTCCTGTTGTTGAACATGGAGATTACAAAATGGAAAAATTGGCGAAGCAGTCTATGATGTCACAATCTGTGAAAATGTAACAAATTATTGATAAGCCCAGCTGATAAGTATGCTTTCAGGTGATTGGACAACTGACCATCCTCCTTCCCCCATATCTAAGGTCACCTTAAAGTATACTATATCTAAACCCAAAAGCAACATTTCATACATTATGTGCTTAACAATCCTTAAATATGGCACTTGCATTAGTTTTTTTTCCCTTCATTTTCACCTGGTGATAGAATCCCAGCAGGCTCTGAGAGTGTGGCAGTGTAACGTTTGTTCAATGACTGAGTTGCCTGATGCACAGAAATGGGTGTGTAGACCCAGAATGGATGGACTTCAGGTATGATACACACTAATACACCCAATACAAATACACAAACGGCGCAGGCACATCAATAATAAGGATTCAGTAGTATTACAGTGCAGGCAGGGCAGCAGACTGCAGCCTGTAGTAGTCAAAAGAATGTATTACTGACAGCAACATGATGTGTGGGTAACTGCCACTCCTGGAAGACCCAATGCCTTAGGCCTCAGCCTATGTTGGCTATGCAGAAATTTGATCCAGGCCACTATTGTGTTCCAAGCTATACTTATATGATCCAAGTTGCACTAAAAGTGGGTTTATTTGTTATGTTTGGAGTAGTACCAAATATAATTTCTTGAGTTTCATCCAAAAAATGTCTGTTTGAAAGCAATCCAAGTTAAGTTTGAAGTCTCTGCCATGAATAAATGGAAACAGAACTGATTTTATGGTCCGTAAGTATTCTTTCATTTCTGAAGGGTAGATCAAGAGCTGTGATTAATACAAAGGCTATTAATGCAAAATCAGGTTCTCAGAAACCATTCCATCCTTGCCAAGTTACATTCACAAAACGGTAAGTGCCCTCAGAAAGTGCTGTTCATAAAGAAAGTTACTAGTAGAACATACAGGTGTTTCAAGTCATTGCTGAGCACAAAGCTGTGCCTGCTTTTTGTGGTGCAAGGAAAACCATCAAAACAAACACGACAAAACAGAAAACATGTATCTAATTATCCCTGAACAGTGATTGGTTGGCTTCTAACATATAAGTGTACAAAAAAATCCTTAAAAGTCATATCCTAGACAGCCTGGAAGACTTCTTAGCAGCCCCTGTAGGACAAAGATAAGAAAAAATGACGTCCGCTTATAATCTTGTTTGGCCCACACAATTGAATGTAATTAATAATATATAAATAATGTATATTAACCTGTTGTCACCCATAACACATATGTGTGGCAGCAAAATAACTTTACTGTCCATGCACCACACACATTGGATGGCCGATGTTTCTATGCGGAGAGTGCACTCCTAGCACACAGACCATATCATCAAAGCCAGCTCTCAGTCCACACTAAGGCTTGGTTCACATATGTGGTGCCACTGCAGATCTGCATGAAAATCTGTGCAGCCACACCACCCACATAGAGAAATGCGGACCCGTGGGAGGGTGCCATTAATTCTAATGGCACGCCGCCCACAGTGGAAAACACAACCATACTGGGAACCGAGGTTCCCGTGTGGGCTGCGTTTTCAGCAGAAGTGAAGGGACTTCTCTGTGTGTCACGAGGCACGGGAGTCCATTCAAATGAATGGGCTCTCATTCCTGCGCAAAACACGGCCCGCACGGCCAATTATATGTGAACCAGGGCTAAGGGCCAATTCACACTGACTTGTGCTAAAATGCATGTACATTTCCATCCATTTTAGTTGTTTTTTAATGCGCGCTGAAGTCTGTTGACATACATTTTGACGTCCATTGACATACATTTTGCATTTTAGCACAATGTAACATTATGGTGTGAATAGGACACATTGGAAATTATTGTTATTCAGATGTCCTTCTGTTGATCTGTGTTTTTTACAGCTGCAATTAAACACAAAGCGTGAACTGGAACCAAAAGATCAGTAGCAGTCAGGACCAGCTCCCAATCATGTGACTACTGTGACAGTCAATCACAGTGGTCACATGATAGCTGATCCTTCCTGCCCCCCTGACATACAGACCTTATTAAAGGGACACTGGGGCTGAGCTAGTATGGACTAATAAATACTTATTAGAAACAAATGTACATAATATCAGTTTCCTTCTCCAACCAGCAGTTTTAATATTTAGGTACTAAAATTAGGTACTGAAAATGAACATCAAGAGAAAAAAGTGAATTTTCACCATATTCACTAAGCCAAGGACACATGTCCTTGCAACGTGAACAGCCTGTTTGCCCTCAGTAAATCAACCCATAGGTCTCTGTCAAAGGAGAAGATCAGTGTTCATAAGGCGCCGCTAGTTGGCTAGATCTGCATGAACAATAGGCTGCATTCACACTTGAGTGTTTTGTAGCTTGCAGCTCCAAGCTCCAAAAATGCCCAAACTTAAAAAAATCAATTGTTCTCTATGGTGCCTGTTCGTGCGATCAGGTGTGAGCAGGCACCATAAAGAACAATAAATTTTTTTTAAGTTTCAGCTGTTTTGGAGCTGTGCTGCCCATTTAAATTGAAGCTCTGTCTTAAACTATGGGCAGGTGAATGTAAAAGGACTCAATCTCCGCAGCAAATAGGAATATGTGGCAATAACATATAACAGCAAATTGGTGTGGCATAATCAAATGGTCATAATGAAAATAACATATAAATACACAAATGGTCCTATGGAAACTCTTAGCATATATATATGTTTAATACTCACCTATGTTTCCATAGGACCATTTGTGTATTTATATGTTATTTTCATTATGACCATTTGATTATGCCACACCAATTGCTGTTATATGTTATTGCCACATATTCCTATTTGCTGCGGAGATTGAGTCCTTTTACATTCACCTGCCCATAGTTTAAGACAGAGCTTCAATTTAAATGGGCAGCACAGTGGCTAAACGGTTAGCACTTTCCTCTAGCAGTACTAGGGTTGTTGGTTCAAATGTGCACCACCTGCCTGGAGTTTGTATGTTCTCCCTGTGTCTGCGTGGGTTTCCTCTGGGTACTCTGGTTTCCTCCCACAATCCAATGACATGCTGGTAGGTGAATTGGCCCTAATATGTGTATGTATTAATGTAAGTAAGGGACCTTAGATTGCACACCCCTTGAGGGTTAGGGACTGATGTGAATGTATAATATATATGTAAAGTGCTGTGTAAATTGATGCCGCTATGTAAGTAAAATAAATAAATCTGACAGGTGGATCTGATCAGCACACCTGTGTGAAAGGACCCTAAGGCCTCATGAGCACTGGACATGAGATTCTGGCATTTTCTTGTATTCAGGGCATTCGTCCCAGGGCACATATAGCCCTAATAATCAATATCACTCGGTGCACTGTCCAGCCATAGCAGCTTTCAGCCTCTCATAGAGTTTTACAGGCTGCCAGGAGAGGGGCAGAATGGATCGCCTGTGCCTTCCACCTATACCAAACACTGAAACCTCATGCATAGGGGCCCAACTAAATGTCCAGTGTGCATAAGGCTTATAATATAAAATATGATGCATGTTTATCTACCCAATATATGTAAACATCAATACTGGATTTCATGCTACCTGACAGTAACCAGTAAGCCTGGGTTCACACTGATACAATCCAGAATTCGCAGCGT